TACCTGGAGGGCCGAAGTTTGTCCATGCCTGAGCTAGTTGGAAAGTAAGTGCTGACTTGTAAACTGAGCATTTGCTGGAATTTGGGCTAGTATTCATAGACTGTATTAAGACAGACTTGACCTTATTCTTCTTAGTTTGTTAGTAATTCACTAGGCAATTTTACAGTCTGTGTTATTAATAATTGGTACTCTGTTTCTGACTGAATTTATATGACTGTGTACAATTATTAATTGCTTACACAGTGTTGATACTGTATTACTCCTTTCAAGTAGTTGCTTTCATTTGTTTGTCTACTCATTAATTACTGGCTTGTAACTTGTATTGTATATGAAATTTCTGTTTTGTTCTCTTATAGTGTTTGATGTGGAATTTCTATTTTGTTCTGTTGAGGCTTGTACATAATTGTTTCAAGTGTTTGTCCTAGGTGTTTTCATTAGTTATGGTGTTATTAAGCATGAACTTTTGTATCCAGGTTGTTTGAGATTTGTGGGAAAGGAATAGTAGACATGTGCTGGTTATAGGTAACACATAAATCCCTTCCTGAAAGGCTTTGCTGGCTTCTGGGCACAATTCAAAGTGCTGGTCATGATCTATAAAATGCTATACACAGCTAGGTCCAGACAATTGAACACTCATATTTCTCCATTAGAGCCTGTCCAAGTCTCAGGGAAGGTTTTTGCTCCATCCTGTTGCACTTCTAAATTTAACTACTGAAGACACAAGAGAGAGCCTTTTCAGTATCTGCTCCTAGACTTTGGAATTCCTTTTCCGGGGAAGTTCAACCATGGACATATTGCTTTGGTAAGACATTCACACTTGGTTGCATGTTGAATGTTTCACATTCCGACATGAAAGCAATATCCATATGCAACACATATTTCTTCAACTAATCGCATCTCCTGGCAGATTGGTGGCAATGGGAATAAGAAAACAGCTCTATGAGTGAAGTGGCTTAATTTAGATCCACCATTAACAATGTTGTATTGGTCACATGATTATTTTTTACAAGATGTTGGCACATATCTAAGCAAGGAAATCTAACATTTGACTGTTGCCATTGACCGAACTCTAAAGCCACTGTGAAAAAGAGTACATTCATTTTCAGCCTTTACATTCTCGCAAGGTCACTCTGTAGTAAAACAATACACCGCTAGCAAATGAATTATTGATCATCCGTGTAATTTAACACTCAAGATTCACTGATGTTTCACATTCAATGGTAATTAAGTGTATGCAACAGCAGAAGCTACAAACAACAGCTGTATTAAACTGTAAGCAGCTTTTCACAACACATAATACAGTAGCAGCTCTAGGACATATTTTACAACTACTCAAACAGGGGTCCTCAGGGAACAATAATCAACTAGCAGCTACTGCATGTTTATAATCTACTCAATAGCCTCTGATAATTAAACTAGAAATTAAGGAACATCAACTTGTTTACAGTATCTCTAAACTTGTCCTTTGTTTTATTAGCTCCTCATAAATACTGCTACTCTGAAAAGCTTATCTGCAACACTGGCATCCATCCCAACATTGTTTACTAAAAGTCACATGAGCTGATTTGAAATGGCTTTTCCCACTAGGATGCATGAGAAAGCCGAGAAATAATAGTCAACATTGTAAAACATTGTGGCAAACATTTGAGTCCTTTGATGTTTTAGACTTCGGTGCCCAGAAGCCTGTCATCATGGCCAACAGTCTGGGATTATGGGACTTGTCACAGCCTGTACAGAGAGCTGAAACACACATGTTTTCCACAGCTAAAGCCCATCTAAATGATAGTCCGCAGTATCCATCATCCCCAACTATTAACAGGTTGAAGTTAATGACAGTTGAAAGATACATCTGAGTAGACACACACAATCTACACAAGTTGTTGCAATCCAATCCTATGTTTATACTCATGGATCCATACTATGGGATCCTGGGATTTGAAAGAGAAATGCAGCAATAGAGCTTTGTAATAAAGAACTCTGGGCCACCATCAAACTACAGATTCATAGCATGGATAGGGTTCTATTATGTAACATCTTGACAGTTAAACAAATACCAAACTCTTTTAACTGTGCAGTCCAGATACATCCAGATACAGAGCTACAGGCAAACAATCAGATAAAAAACTTAGACTGCATACCTTTTCAGCTCTCTGGTAAAACACTGGTCCTTCACCCTGAAAGATCAGATATCCCTCTGGATGGAATTACAGCTATTTTACTTAATGTGACTTGGGGGCACTGTAAAAATGAAGGCAACAAAAATAGCTTCACCTTCCACCCATGTACTCAAGTGAAGCAACTTTGAGCACAGACAGGAATGTAGAAACATATCTTCCTTGGTGTTTCAGACATAAACTAGAAGCCCATGTTATCCACATCAGACAAAAATCTAGGGAGCCATATTGGGTATAACAACAAAAATCAAATATCCACATTGTGGTAATAATTTTTTTTAAAAAAGCTGTAGAGTTCTCCTCTTCTACATTTCAAGACAACATGTAAACTACAACTTTTAAGATCCAGTCTCCACCCAGCCTCCACTTCCATCTCCCTGGCGATTTTTGTAACCTCTTGCTTGATCAATGAATGCACACCAATGTGACACAGACTTGATGTAGAAGTCCTATTTAAGTTCTCTTACACTTGTTTATTAATTACCTCTGATCTTCTCCATGGCTCTGAAATGGCTCTTCTGTGAAATCTCCAACGAGACAGAATGCCAGAGAATCAGGGGAACATTCTTCCTTTTGAACCCATTGCTTTTCAATTGAGCAAAGCAGGGGAAGAACAGGTGAAGCTAGCATAAACCCCTATTCACAAGGAATAAAAATGGGAAAGAACACCTGTAGAGGGTTACTGCCTAAATCTGTAGAGGGGGGTCTGCCTAAATGTCCCTACTTGTTGCTGAAATGTTGCTTGCTTACTATCATCTGGAACAGTTTCATAGACAGAAACTTTTGCCATTCTTGCTTCTTGACTTTATAAAGTTGGGTGTTTTAGATTTAAGAGTATAGGGGAAAATAAGTGGCCTGAGAGCTGGGTATTCCAGAATGTGAAGAAGTTATTAGCTGCCATCACATTACTGCAATGGACATGAAGTTCAAGGTACTATGATAAGCATATAAGTGCCAAGTATAATTTTTAAGGAGTGATGTGTCAGAAATAAACCACTAAGTAGGCATATTACTCCCCCAGGAATTAAACCAAAGGGCAAAGGATCTTTGATCTTCCAGATGTTCTGGACTACTACGCTAAATCCCACCAACAATAACAAATTGTGGGCACTATAGTACAAACATCTAGAGATAGAACAGATATCTACTCTTGGACTAGACCCTGCAAAAAATCTAGTTGCCTACTGTACCTCTATGCACATTCAGAAAAAAAAGACTGGATAGAAATAATAGTTTATTTGAACTCATTCACCTCCTCATTATTTCCACCATGGGGTCATTGCCTTCGCCTGCTATCCATCACAGGTCTATTTCTATGCAAAACAAGCAATAGGCATTAAAAACCAAAAGGCCTTTTAAAAAGCTATCAAAAGAACATTTCACTCCCTGAGGGACACTTCATGGCTGATATTAAAGTCACTATTCTTTAACCACCACCTCCTCTACCACCTTCATGAAAAGAAAATAGCTGGAGTAGAGCTTAATCAGTAAATGTGATTTTGTTCATTCGAGTTTTAAACAGATATTTAAGAGTGTGACTTTCCACTAAAATGAAAGTATCCCTCCTCAGAAAACTATGAATATTTTTATATAAATTGCTAATCTAGCATACTGACATCTATATAGAAACATCAGAGACCTTCAATACCATTTGCATTTTATGTCCGCTGCTGATGCGTTTTGTCACTGTTGATAGGAGTGACACGTTTGAAAATAACCACCACTTCTCTCTTAATCCTTTATCCAAAGACTGTGCCTGCTCTGTGATTAAAATTTTCACATAGACATAAATTGGTACACAGAGTATGGCAGTGGTTCTCAACCTGGGGTCCCTAGATGTTTTTGGCCTAAAATTCCCAGAAATCCTAACAGCTGGTAAACTGGTTGGGATTTCTGGGAGTTGTAGGCCAAAAACATCTGGGGCCCCCAGTTGAGAAGCACTGATATATGGCAAATGTCTGAGGAAGGATCAGATCTTGAATGACAAAATCTGGTCATGATTTTTAATGGTCAAAAGTGCTAGGCATGGTTGGCCCCTCGTTCCTAATAGCGTTCCCCAATCTTCATTCATACTAATACGTGCTGAAGGAAAACAAGAATTTTGAAACAAGAAGAGTTTTGCCCAGCTAGATCAGGCAGCTTTCTTGAAACTAACTCCACAACTCCCATGGGGCTCACAAATGCTTTTTTGATGCTTCCTACACTATCACACAACTCTCCACATGCAATGCTTAATATTAGTATCCAGGTGAAAGGGAGTAACAATTCTGAAGGACTGTCAACAGATCTTTGAGAAACATGAATAAATTCAAAATTGCATTGATATGCAGCTTATCCCTAAAGCAGAATTTATTGTTCTTGTTATTTTATTTTATGTATATAGCACATATAGCTCTACTCCATCTCCATATACTGAAAGCTGGAGAAGAAAATGCTTAATCTTCCAGAGGAACATGCTCTGATAATATTGTATTTTGTCTATTTTAAGACACACTTTTTTCCTACATAAACATATCTAAAAATGGGGTTCATCTTAGAAGTGATGGCATTTTTGTTGTTGTTTATTTGCTCAGTCGTTTCTGACTCTTTGTGACTTCATGGACCAGCCCATGCCAGAGCTCCCTGTCTGTCATCGGCACCCCCAGCTCCTTCAAAGTCAAGCCAGTCACTATAATCTTACCTCTTACAGTGGAAGAAATATTGTGTCTTACGATGGAAGAAATATGGGTACATCCTATTTAACCCCCAGAAAAATTGACCAAACAGAAAATATTTTAGTTAAGAAACCAAAAGATTATAAAGTAAAAAACAAATCCAGACATAACACAATTTTGACATTTTATTTCTGCATTGCCACTATGTATGAATTATTTCCAAACGCATTTGGCAACCAACGTGCTGCCAACGCAGCAGATACACGAAGCATTTCAGTATTTCAGAAGTCATAATCTAAGACTCAGCTAGATTTTTAAAAAGCTCTCTTCCCCACTGGATTCTTGACTTTAACTCTTGAGTACAGAGTTCTAGACACATTGCAGAAATGATAACAAAGTTCACCATAATTGTTTTTCTCCTTGAAGTGAACATGGCAGCAATTACAATGATCTGCTGGTTCAAATCAAACAGGTCTTTGGTTCATAGAGACACCAAGTTCATCTAAGGCAGCACCGTCAAAAGGCATTTACTGGAACTTGATTCCTTGAGCAAGAGGCAAATCCTTGCTGTAATTGATTGTGCTGAAATATAAACAGAAAAAAATAGATAAGCAAGTCATAGAAAACACCCTGCTGGATTGGATCAAAGGCCACCTTAGTTCAGTATATTGTTCCCACATTGGCCAACCAAGCCTGAAAATGCTTACACAGAGATAAGAATGTCCCAACTCCAAGGAGAGCCATAGGTATGCAAAGTTTTGACCAAATGTATTTCTGTATTCACAGTAATCGAGATTGCTATATTTTATTTTGATAGGAGCCCACGGTGGCGCAATGCGTTAAACCCTTCTGCTGGAAGGACTGCTGACCAAAAGGTCAGCGGTTCAAATCTAGGAAGCGAGGTGAGCTCCCATCTGTCAGCTCCAGCTTCTCGTGCGGAGATATGAAAAGCCTCCCACAGGATGGTAAAACATCTGGGTGTCCCCAGGCAACATCTTTGCAGATGCCAATTCTCTCACTCCAGAAGCAACTTGCAGTTTCTCAAGTTGCTCCTGACACACACACACACAAATCGATAGAGCCAGACCAGACAGGATCCATGGAAATTAAAGCCTTAAGCAAGGTATGGGCAACTGCATGACAGGAATGAGCCAATTTCCCCTTTGCCACTGATGGACCCTGAGGGCACATCCAAATATTTCTAATTTTCACTCTGTACATCTCCAAAATAGAGACCACATCACTTCCTACTGTGGAATTATGAAAAGTGAGGCTTCTAGGTTGTTTTCTGTATGGGAACTGAAGTCTTTTACATATTGTGGGGGTTTTCCATGCCGTTTTTGAGTAGAAAATATGGAAATCATGTTCTTTAAAATAAAAGATTGGGGACTAAAGGGATTTGAAGTAGTGGCAGGGGCCAAAATAATGGGTTGCATAAGTCATACACTGCCCACTGGAGGCTAAGCACATGTGCAGAAATCAACATGGAAACCGGAACTTTGCTCAAGCCCACGTATGCTAAGCATACAAAAGAGTCTGTTACCATGGCTACATGACTATTGCCTTTACAGTTCTTTAACTCGGGAATGAAGACCTGTCTCTCTAATAAGTGATTAAGTCTTACATCCAAGAGAGTCCATAGGTCCTGCTGAGTGATTTTCTATTGAACGTTGCATGACATGACCTTGAGAGAAGGGGTCACGGCTATGGCAAGCGCTTGAGCAGAGAGCAAAGGACTCCAGGAATGGGGAGTGAGGGGCCAGAAAAGGATCCTATATGTAGTTAGAGTACCTGCAGCCCCCTGAAACATCATACTTTGAATTGCATTTGATTTCAAATAAAATTTAACAATGCCAATGCTCATTTGATGCTCATAAGGCTGGCAGGGAAAAAAGGCTTGGAAACATGCTAGGCAGAAACCAGCACACTGGAGCTGGTTTTGAATTATCCAACATAGGCATTAAAGTAACACACTTTGGGAAGCTACCATATATACTCATGTACAAGTCAACTTCATGTATAAGTCAAGGGCAGGTTTTGGGATAAAATTGTGGGTTTTGATTCAACCCATGGATAATTCAGGGGGTCAGTGGAGTGTGGAAAGCACAAGTATATAGTGTATAGAGCAAGCATGGGCAAACTTCGACCCCCTCAGCTTAAGCAGCTGGGGGGGGGGGAGTAAAGGCAGTTAGGAATTGTGGGAGTTGAAGTCCAAAACAGCTGGAGAGCCAAAGTTTGCCCATACCTGCTATATAGCAAGAGCCACCCCCTGGTGTTTTGGTTTTATACTGTAAGAATAGGTCATATTAAGAACATCATACTTGATCAGCTGATCATAATGTACACTGAACTTGGATATTGTTTTATTTGAATTAATCACTAACTATTCAAATTATAATCTGTACAGATCACTAGCAATGGTCTTGCGAGCAGAAAAACTGGACAAAGCCCTGAATCAACACATTAGGGGGAAACCTATTTAGAATACACACACACACTGCATCTTTAAAATAGCACCTAGGAGAAGGGAGTGAGAACAAAACCAGCATCAATAGCCACTTCATCCTGGGACAAAAAGCAGTTCAGAGGGGATTTTCACAAGGACCACAGAGCCCAGTGGATGGGTTAAGCTCACTTCTTACATGTCATGGTTCCAAACTTTATTGATTTTCTGTGCAGCGAGTGTGTTTTACATAAGCAGAATCCCAAAAACCTTACCAAGTGGATCTTCTCATATACTGCTTCCACGAATCGCTCCCAGATTCCCTTCCTCCACCAGTGTGTTTATTGCCACCTTGACAGGAGAGTCAAACACAAATTACAGATGCAAAAGTGAAAGTACCTTAGTAGATATTAGTCTTGTGCATTTGTATGGAATTGCTATTAGTTTCGTTTTGTTTCATTCATAACACACTTTAGGCCTATAACTCCCAGAAATCCCAGCCAGTTTACCAACTGTTAGGAATTCTGAGAGTTGAAGGCCAAGACATATGGGGATCCACAGGTTGAGAACCACTGTTCTAGGGCATCTATTTAGATAACTCCATGAAGGCTGGACCAAAGAACTAAGATGGAGCAGCATGAATGGAGTCAAAACTTAGGAGGCAATCAAGTGGTATGGCATGAGTATCTGCACAGAAGTAATATGACCCTCTGGGTAAATTTCGATAGTGCAAGTGTGTGAAGAAATAAGGAAACTTAAATGAAGGGCTTAGATATCAAAATATTAGTTATTTCCATTGTGAAAAGAACAGACAGGGTGGAGCATTCCAATCTATTGCATTCATGAAGAGCCCAACCGACGGGCATCTGCTTTGTTGCTTTGTTTACCCGGCCATCTAAAATATCTTAGCCAGACAACATAGATATTTCAAGTTATTACAACTGTATAATGAAAACTGTAGTAAGACACCATCCCATGGAAACAATGTGATGTGAAAAACTTTACTTTTCATTTCAAATTAATTTTTTGAAAATGTAATGAAGGGTTAATAACTTCCTAAGTTCTTAATTCCAAATGGTGGCAGGTTTATTAAGAACTCAACTGTTTTTAAATCATGGAAAACACATTTTTACCCCTGGAGTGTTGTTTGGAGAATGGAATAATACAAAAGCACATACAACTCATGTCATTTGTCAAGTGTCATCTTTACCAAAGAGATTTAGATCTACTTATGCCTGTAATAGTGAAAATTATATTTCCTGCAAGATGTCAACATACCAAAGGCACCTCCGATTTCAGCCCCACTAGTTGGAATATTCACATTTACAATACCACAGTCTGATCCTTTAGGCCTAGAAAGATAGAAAAAAAAAGTGACGACCAAATCAGAGACTGCTATTTTTAAAAGGAGAAAACTTCAACCATTTAATCTGGGGGGAGGGATTAACATTTCATCTAGCATGTAAACATTTATCTAAGATGTTTTAAGTAGGTTTGCATTTGCTCCCTTTTACAAAATAAACAAGAACCGTACCCAAGCCACCGGAATATTCTGCCTAAATCCTTGGTGAAGATGCTGCTAGACAGGCCTTGTTTGACTTCATTGTTCCAGGCAAAGGCTTCATTTTCTGTCTGGAAAGAAACACAGAGAAGTCAAAACTATGTGAAATGAAAGCTGAATGTGCCCCAAAAACTGAGAATAAGGAGGCACAGATTCCTAAACTTGGGTATATCAGTGTATATCAGACATCGTAAAATCAAACCATCAGCATGTTATATTATTAATATATTCAGATGTCACTTATTTATGATATTCAAATTATGAATCTGCTATCATCTGCCAAGTCAGGGCCAGTCGCCAAGGGAGGCAATCAGGAGATCATGGCCCTTATGGCATTACAGTACCAAAGACACAAAAAGACAAATAGGAGAATAATATTTAAGTCATCATCTCTACATTTTTGCTTAAAGCATAGAAAGTATTTCTTCTGTTAGTAATTGTTAATATGCAAAGTATAAAATCAACCCACAAAACGTTGGATTTTAAAAACTATTAAGAAATCATACAAATGAATGCCTTCAGCCAGAAATGAAGCCAGGTACATATGGTGCAGTTTAGAAGGCAGGATTTCCATCTAAGTTTGGCAAGTCTTTTAAAATGTGGACATTCAAGCAATGAAAGGAAGAAAAGCAATCCAAGACACTTGAGACAACTGACATATGTGTCAAGCCCTTAGTCAAGAAACTTTTTCCCTATGGTTGTTGAAATATTCATTTAGCAATGATCAGAAGAAAGATTTTTGTCATTCTAGTTTCCAGAAATTAAAGAAGAAATCTAACCAAAAATCCTTGCTACAGTTAACAAGTACACGGGAACTCATCACCTTTGTCCCAACAGTTCATTCTCATTCATAGACAAAGGGCAAGAGTACAATGCCAAAAGTCATTAAAAGGCACAGGTTTCCCCTTGACATTGTCTTGTTGTGTCCAACTCTGGCGGGTGGTGCTCATCTCCATCTCCATTTCTAAGCCAAAGAGCTGGCGTTGTCCGTAGATGCCTCCTAGGTCATGTGGCCGGCATGACTGCATGGAGTGTTGTTACCTTCCTGCAGAAGTGGTTCTTATTTATCTACTCACATTTGCATGTTTTCGAACTGCTAGGTTGGTAGAAGCTGGGGCTAACAGCAGGAGCTCACCCTGATCCCTGGATTTGAACTGCTGATCTTTTGGTCAGCAAGTTAAGCAGTTCAGTGGTTTAACCCGCTGTGCCACCGGGGGCTCCATTATTAACCAATTAATTGCTCTGGAAGGTGGATTCTGATACATTATCCTAGGAACATACTGTAATTTTGATCTAGAGGGGAAACTCATGGTGCCTTATGTGTTCAAACTCTGGAAAACACTATTTGCAATAGAATACATTTATATCATCACAATTTGGCTACCTAAACACAGAGCACATAAAAGACATGAAATCCCACTGTAATGCGAACATCCTCCAACTTAAGATTTTCTAATCAAAGCATTAAACATTATCCAAAAATGATTACTCTCAACTAGAATAGAGCCAACTGAATCCATAATAATAATAATAATAATAATAATAATAATAATAATAATAATACTTTATTTCTAGACCGCACCTCTCTCCCAAAAGGAACTCAGGGTGGTTTATAGCACAAAAACAGGAAAACATTTAATGCCTTATGAAGTAGCAAGCAACATCAGGAATAATACAAAATAATAAACAATAATTAACAGTGGGAAGACTTAAGTACTTACTGAAATCCCATTGACACAATTCCAATTATGGGACTAACAGTTGGAACGAAACCACCATTTACAAGTGCAAAGTGATTTGTGAAACTGCACTGGTTCTCTGCCCCCAATTCAGCACCATCAACATTTCATCATTTATTATTTCAATAATTTCCACCTTTTTATTATGCCCCAGTGTTTAGAAACATAGAAGGAACATTTTAATATAGCACTCAAAGGAGATTCTATTACCATACCTCCTAACAGCTCACCTAGAAATGTCTTCCTTACCTTAAATTTTAAGACATACAAAATAGGAGCAAATGTCTCTGTCTGCACAACAGCTGCATTATGTGGAAGACCGGTCACGATGGTAGGTTCAACGTAGTTTCCAGGACGGTCTAAAACCTTGAATGAGATGAATCAATGCACAGCACCCATTAGTTTCAACAAGTCAGGTTCTGTATAAAAATATGTTTTCTAGAAAAGTGTGATTCCCTGTCTTGGCTGATAAAAAGAAAGATGCCAGAAATTAAACCCAACACTTCATAGAATTCCTTTCAGCTGGTGCATTAACAGGATAGAAAGATGAATGCATAGCTGGAAAATTCTGACTTGTGATAGCGAGATAATGATCACGACACCCACATTTGTATGAATACTGTCCTCTAAAAGGTCAATCCTTCTTTCTACTTGTACGAAGGCTTGTCTTTTATGAACAAGGAAACCTCTGAAGATACCTATTTTTAAAACTAGATTCTGAATAGATTGACTCAGTTCAGTTTCCCTCTGTGAGAATACCATGTAACATATCCCATTACTACCACAATCATATTTCAAGTGTTCAAATCATTTCCACCTTCCTGGTAAGACTAGCTGAGGTGGAAGGAAAAGTACATACTAAACCCAGCATGAAGAATGGTCGACAAAATCAAGTGTAAAGATGTAAACCACATGAAATTAAGGTTCGGCTAAAAGAGTATCTTGAGGTTATGATGACAGCAGCAGCATAAATGTGAATCTAGACAGAGGGATTTTTATTTTATTTTTTTACAATCATCCTAGGGAAGAACACAGCACTGCTTCATCAACAAGCTCTTCTTCTTATGATCACAGCTTTCATTCTGTGGAATAGGAGAAATGAGAATATAATCACCTTCCCACCATAGACCACAGAGCCACCTTGTTGTTTGGCAAGTTCCACGGTATCAACGAACATCTGAACTGCTTGCTTTGTATGAAGAGGGCCATACAGGGTGTTAGCTGAGAAGGGGAGAAAAGCACTTTTGAACAGAATCTTTAAAAATATTCCTCTCCCTCTAAGAGTCCTGTTGGACACGATCAAAGCATTCTGTCTCCAGTGGGTGGTTACACACCTATGAAAACCCCACAAACAAGAAAGGAGGGCCACAGCTCCTACCGGCTCATGTTTCCTAGCATGACACAATTATTTTCTTATCAATATCTGACTTTTTTGCTTTCTTCTTGCTAAAGATATGGGAAACCACTTGCAAGATTCTCTGCCTTATGCATCAAAATAACTTGATTGGATTTGGAGACTATGAATTAGGAAGGTCAGTCTCACTCTGGCTACAATTCTACAAGGTCTTAGGTAGGTATGTTTAACAGACCCTGAAAAATGATGTTTTGGACAGTATTTCCAGCACAGAATTCTGCCTATGGTGTTGGGAATTCTAAGTTTTGTGAATTCCCAAAATAAACTTTTCCAGGTTCTGTTCTTTTTGAGCTCTACAATCTATTTGAAAATGCATCATGGAGTGTCTATATTCAAAGGCAGGCATTAGATGGCAAATCTATGTGTTCTCTTCCATTTCTCCTAACCCACTTGTATTAAGTAGTCAAATACATACATGACCTATAAAGCCCTAAATGGTTCAGGCCCCGCCTATCTCCGCGATCACATCTCCTTCTATGAACCGGCACTAATTCTAAGATCTTCCGGGGAGACCCTCCTTTCGCTCCCACCACAGTCACAAGTATGGTTGGTGGGGATGAGAGAGAGGGCCTTCTCAGTGGTGGCCCTCCACCTCTGGAACACCCTTCCAAGGGAAAGAAGACAGGCCTTATCCCCCCCCCCCCTTTCGTAAGAGCTTGAAGACCTGGTGGCTTCAACAAGCCTTTGACAATAACCAGTTCTAGTCCAGCCCTAAACATTATTGAATATGGCCTTGCACTTCTTACCTATCACCCCGGTCATCTCTCTAATAAGCCCTGGAATGGAGCAGCCACAGATCTGTACTTGCTATTGCAGTTAGCCTGTTATAGAACTGAACTTAATTCCCAGCCCCTTCATATTTTGAGTTTGCACTAGCCTTGGCCCGGCTTTTTAATTGCTCTGAACAGGCAGGATTCGTTTTGATATACATGTGTTATTGTGATAATTTTATGCTTATGTTGTTTTGTTAATTTTATGTTATGCTGTTTACTTGGTACGTTTCGGTGATGTTACTTGAAAACTGCCCCGAGTCCCCCTCGGGGAGATAGAGCGATATATAAATAAAGTATTATTATTATTCCCCTAAGTGTTTCAAAACTTCTGATATGCGAACCCACCATTCAATTTCAATCCACATACTACTATGCACACATACATCTCAGAGACTTCACCGCTAGTCCTGGGGCAGAAGAGAAATCTCTGCTAATGGTCATTTGGAAGTGGCAGATCCTTAAGCTAGAATTCAATGTATGAGCAACCCCTTGGATTACACTATGTAATACGATTTTTGTTCCTGGGTTATAAATGTCATAAAACCTTTGTTTTTGTGGGACATCCTGCAGCACATTTTGCTATAGTTTTTCAATAAATATCTCCTAGAGTCTCAACCAGTTCAACATAGTTTGTGGTAACTACACAAAGTTTTTGGAGTATAAAAGCTACTTTCAAAGTAAGGACCACACAATTAAACACTTTCAAACCAGGAACAGATTTTTTTTCAAATTTTGTGACATAGTGATATCAAAAGACCACACACTGTCCACAAAGAAAAGCTCTTACCATCTAATGGATCTCCAATGCGGACCTGCACATATGCTTTAGCAAGTCTTGAGACCACTTCATCGTGAATGCTTTCATGCAAAAACTAAAAAGAAAAGCATACTGTTAGTAATCAGTCTTTACAGTGCAAACTTCAACCCTGGCATCTTCTGAAGATTATTCCAAATGCATAAAATTCAGCTGAAGTACTATTCTTTTCCTGTTATTCCTACATTGATAAAGTAAAGTTGTGACAAATAGTCTCTCTGCTCATATGAAGTGAACTACATGCTTTATTCCCCGCAACCATGTGAAACAAGTTACAATCTATTCTAAAGAGTAGGAAACACTTCTGCTTTCTCAATATAAAATTAGCAAGGTTTTTTAAAGAGCAATAGGAAGAACTTCAGCAAAGCCTAAAACATTCTAATTGAGAGTCAGTGAGGTGCAATAGCTTGAATGTTGGACTAGACTCTAGAAAACTCAAGTTCAAATCCCTACTTGGCATGGAAATCCATTGGGTGATCTTTTCAGATCCTCTCAGCCTAACACTGGTAAACCACTCTGAACCAATCTTGCCAAGTCAGCCATCCTCAAGCTATGACCATCCTATTTGTGGAGTGTCCGTTTTACCAAAGCTATTTAGATCAAGATATGGCTGTCACATACTCTCACCCCTAGAAAACTCTATGATAGGTTCATCGTTAAGTCAGAAACTACCTTAAGACATGCAACAGGAACTACAAAATATTTGTTGGCAAAATAAAAAGGTCTAGAACCCAATGATCTTCCCGTTCATGTATCCTCCTTTAAAGCATGATTGGTTTAAGATCTGAAACCAGGTCTAAACCAGTATGACTCAAATAATTTATACAAGAGCATGCCGTATACTGCAGACTTAAATTAAAAGGCAGAATAAGGAAAAGTGACACTATACACAATCCAGAGGAAGAGTGAAAAATACATCTTGTCAGACTTCGAAACTGCTTTGGTGTTCACTGGGCTTAATGGTTTTGTTATTCAATTGGTTTTAGATATGATTTTCATGATTCTTCTGTTTAATTTGTTTTTTTATGGTGTTAGCTGCCTCAAGCACTTTTTCTTCAGAAAACAAACAAGATAAAAATACAATAAACAAACAATTTTGGAATGCTTAACACCTTCTGGGGCATAACACACTTAAGTATTTGGATGCCAGAAGATCTGCAACAATTCTCTGAATTGTACCTACTTGATTTTATGTTTTGCAAGGCAATTCATTTTAAATTGCTTTAATACACACACACTCATACACATATATTCAACTAATCAAGGAATAGGCAACATATCCTAAAGTTTATTTAAATTTTCCTGATCATAACTTTCTATCAATAAGATCTGCTATGTTACATGATCTTAATAAATGTTACATACATTAACTCGTAAGTAACAAACAGGCTGAGTGTTCTTTATCCAAAATGGGGCCAGACATATTGGATTTCAGATTTTTTTTCAATTCCGGAATACAATAGTGTAAAGGTAATTTCACACACAATATTTCAAATAATTTTGTGCATGAAACAAAGTCAATGTAGAGCGTGGACAAGTGTGGATAAGGAAAGGTTGCTGACCTGTAACCATGTTTCTTCGAGTGGTTATCTGTGAAATTCACACAACCTGCCCATCCTCCCACTGCTGTCATGCCTCAGTTCTTGACTGCTGCTTTGCAGCACCGGAGCTGAGCCTCCAAAATTGGCTGCTGCATTATATTATGGGAGGGTGGGCGGGGTTGGAGCCCCTTAATTACAGAACTTTTTACAAGAGTCCGATACAGCTGCAACAGGCACAGGAAACTACATCAGGTGTGTATTTCATAGAGACCACATAGATTATTTCTGAAGTATTTTGGATTTTGAAATTCTGGATAAGGAATACATTTTAAAATTATTAAAATAAAACATTCCCATGAGACTAACACTCTCATCAAAGTATAATTAGCTAAAAGAGGCTCATATAAAGTTCTGACCCATTAGAAGAAAAGAGACTTCCCCGCACTTCAACAGATTATGAGAGCAGATGAGAGTTTCCAAAGAAAATACTTAATTTTTAACTGGGAACCTATTCCGCTACACTACCTTGGAAATGACTGAAGCAACAGCACACTTTAGGTTCCATCACTCCCTTCTGTTCTACCAACATGACATAAAATGAATCACATGAAGAATGAGAGACAGTTTTTGAATGAAGAACGAGTAATACATCCTATATCCTCAAGAGCGGGTTGTGTTGTGTGCGCAGCTGAGAGGAGCAGGAGGTGTTCCTACAACAACACTCATGTGGCCATGCTTGTTGGCTTGTTCTGGGAGTTACATAGTAGTTTTAAAAAAGTAATTCTTCCAAGTTGTGCCCAGCACCAGTGCTAGTGCTGATACAGACATCAGATGAATGGGGGTATTACCGAGCTATCATCAGAAGATATACTATACAATAAAGAAACTCATGGAAATGATAACATTGACTTACCAGCCTCCTTGTTGTCGTGCATCGCTGGCCTGCTGTCCCCACGGTTGCAAACAGAGTAGATGGGATGACCAGGTCCAGGTCAGCATCTTCAAAAACTACAAAAGATTCAAGAGAAACATATCAATGGTGGGAAAGAGGAAACTTGGGTAAAATAGATGCATTTCAATGAGAAGGTTGAGGGGTTAATCAGTTTTTGTGGATAGCTGTTAGACATTGTATTATTCACTAAGCCTCTTTCCAATGCATGATGGGGAAATAAGTCTGTGTTTTGCATATTGTTAGTAAGACTTCACCTGCTTCCATCACAAGCAATTGGTTTGGCAAGGACTGCTTCTACAAAGTCCCACCTCAAGTTAAACAATAGATGAATCCAATTATAGCACTTTATAGCACTTTATTACTACTTTCACTATTATGTCTCAAACTTATAGAGCCATGGAACATAGTATGGTGAAGTACTTAAAATTTCCTAATGCACACAAGATTGTAATGCTCTAACAAACACTTCTAAAAAATTCATGAAACATCAAATCTAAGATTCTATAGTTTTTTTTTCCATGTCAGGAGTGACTTGAGAAACTGCAAGTCGCTTCTGGTGTGAGAGAATTAGCCATCTGCAAAGACATTGCCCAGAGGACGCCCGGACATTTGATGTTCTACCATCTTTGTGGGAGGCTTCTCTCATGTCTCCACATGGGGAGCTGGAGCTGACAAAGGGAGATCAACCCTCTCTCCCCAGATTCGAACCACTGACAAGGGTTTAACCCATTGTGCCACCAGGGGCTCTATTTTATAGTATGAAGTCTCGCGGTGAATTTTAGCCATTATTTGTTGGACACCGCTTTGAGTCCCCCAGGGGCAAGATAAGCAGTATAGGAATTTGTTGTTTTTGTTGTTCATTCGTTCAGTCACTTCCGACTCTTTGTGACCTCATGGACCAGCCTGCACCAGAGCTCCCTGATGGCCGTCACCACCCCCAGTTCCTTCAAAGTCAAGCCAGTCACTTCAAAGAAATACAGTAAATAAATAATAAATAAATAAGAAGCATTTGGGGGAAAGGGTAAGTTGGCAGACTCCAAATACATTAAAGGGACTTTACAGGCAAGAGTCAAACATAGTCACTGAGTGACTTTCTTTTGACACAATGAAAGTCACTCAGCTCCCAACAGACAGGGTATAATTTGGACACAGAAAAGAAGAGAAACTCTTCTATACCAAAACAGTTTAAAATTAGCCTAACCCTAGTAGAACATTTAAGTTTTTCAGAGTAATGTAATTTATTTCCACAAGGGCAACTGCAACAACATTCCAGATACTCCTCAGTTCTTATATTTATCTAGAAGTGAAGCAAACAACAGAGCAACTTCTGGCTTCTATTCTTCACAGCAAGTATAAGAACTAGATACAACGTATCCCACAAAGTATGGTAACTTTTCCATGTTGGAAAAAAAGAAAAAGATGAACAACAAAAAACATCCCATTTAGCTTGCAACAGTAGCGTTCATTACCAATAATCGCATTGTTTCCTCCAAGCTCCAGCAGAAATCTTCCTATTAAAGCACAGAAAAAGCCAGTTAGGTGAATAGTAGCCAAATTTGTTATTAAATCTGATAACACTCTTCACCCACACTCCCACTTCCAATAGCCTTCATGATTTCATCAGGACCATGTGGAAAGGGTAATTCCAACAAATGAAAGCAGCTAACGCAACAATAACACAGGCCTACAAAACTGTGTTTACATTTATAGAAATTTGACGTCTAAATCCAAAAATGACCTCAGATATTTTTTTCCATAAAAGGTTTTTTTTTCCACAAAATGAGTTCTACCTTTCTTATGTTGTAAAATATGGCTGAAATTAGGATTTTTAAAAATCCCATCAATACATGCAGCAGTGGCATTTGATCTCATCAGGCATCTAATGAGAGGGACTGGAAATCATGAAACTGTATCCCTGAATGGTCTTTTTCCTCAGCCTTAAAGAGATTAGAGGATTTCTTTGTATCCTATTCAGGAAGGAGACAAGTTTTGTAGCAGAGGATGCCAGTGTCATCTCTGAAAGCTTAACTCCATTATTCTCCATTCTCTCTCTTTTCATTTGATTTTTTTTTCCAAAGGAAAGTAAGAAGAAACAGCTGGTGGGCTTTTGTAAAGGCTCAACACAATAAGAGAGAGAGAGGCCTTTCCTGCAAGGGAGGCTCGTTTATCCCCCCCCCCCCACCTGGGGCCCTTGCACTGCCAACCTTTTCATGCAGGCTGGCAACAAACACTTTACTGGGTGCTGAGAAAGGGGATGTACTCTTTTTAAAGTGTTTTTAAATACTGGAATTTGTTTAGTTGTATTCTATTTTGATCTTCTTATGAGTTGTATTCTGATTTTTGATCTTCTTATGAGCTTCCTTGAGGACTTACTGCTAGGAGAAAAGCAAGGCAGTAAATCAACAGTACAAATATATAAAGAGGAGCATGAACCTTTCTTCCATGGAATGGAAGGGTTCCCTCACTTATGAATTTATGTTGGGGCAGCAGTAACCTCCTTTCCCCTTGAACTTTTTGAAGGCAGCAACAATAGGAGAGCACTGCTGATACTTTCTCCAGAAGATAGCTCAAGAGCAAATCCACCCTCATCCTGACTTTTCTACAAATGCCATAGTGCTCTGAGGAGTGAAGGATTAGTGGTAACATGGGCTTGGATAGCAACTCAAGCAAACATCTCTTGACTCCTATATTTAAGCAAAGGAAGAATCATCTATGTGCTCCTCCCTTCTCCAGCCTCACTTGTTTTTTAACAACATAGTGTGGGGAGGGGGGGTGAAAAGGGAAAGAGACAGACTGGGGCACAACATTTCACTTACCAAACCTTTCCTGAACCTTAAGGGCCACTTGCTTGCCCACATTTGTGCTACCCGTGAAGGATAGCAGATCAATTCTTTCATCCTTCGCCATTGCTGTACTATATAAAACAAGACAGAAATATTGCAAGCCAGTCAGTTGTCAATCAAACTGAGTTAGACAAAAGCACCATAGGAACAGAGTCCTGTTATTTACTTTTAAAATCTATTCCTCACATGACATTGATATACTTAATATTCTGTTCACATGGAACATTTCATCTTTACCATGTTCTACCTGCTTGGGTAAATGAAACATATTTTAAAAGTATTGCATATACTAGAGTATAACCCAAGTTTTTCAGCCCTTTTTTAAGCTGAAAAAGCCCCCCTCTGTTTATACTCAAGTCAAAGTTATTTATTATTTTACTCTGTTGTTGTTATTATTATTATTATTATTATTATTATTATTATTACATTTATTATTTTATTCTTTATTCTTATTACATGTACATTATTTTACTCTATTATTATTATTTATAATTTAACTCTATTTGTTATTATATTATTTTACTCTAATATTATTACATTTATTATTTAATTCTATTTATTATTATTGAAAGGAAACATAAGCAAATTTACGTTGAAGAAGGTTAGAATAATGATTTAATCAGAAGTGGACAGTCTTATCTTAAATTACAGTTTTATAGAAATACTAAAAAACATTTAACCTACCTCAACTGAAGTAATTTTATCAGTATCTATTTTTATTTTGAGCTTTACCAGTAGCTGTTGCATTTCCCACTCTCGGCTTATACTCGAGTCAATATGTTTTCCCAGATTTTTGTGGTAAATTTGGGTGCCTCAGCTTATATTCAGGTCGGCTGATACTCGAGTATATACAGTATGTATTATAAATATTTGAAAGAGTCCATATTTCAGAGAGCAGGGGATGAAGACATGGAAATTAAGATTGCATCAAAATTTCAAATATACTAGCAATAGTAACTGCAACCTTAACACAAATATATAGATTTGTATAATTGTATCAAAATAAAGATACATTTGCTGGTTACAAAAATGAAATACTACAGTTGATAGACAGCAAAGGCTTTTATTTAATGTGCCGAACATAATCTGCTCTTAGATATGCAAAATAGATAAAACTTACTAATGGTGGAAATGGTTTGGGACTCTGTATTCATTTTCCAATAATCATAACTACATTCCTTAGTAGCCCAGATGACCAGAACTATCTTGTCAGTCTCAACCAATTGAAAGAAAGGATTTCTATTTAGTAAAAGAGCTCACATTTTTAAGGCAACATCAAGTAAGGATTTCTTGTACTGAAAAAGTCGGTTCACAGTTTGGGCAACAGACAAAAGAACAGTTTAAAGCACCACTACAAGATTTGTACATAACATTTCTGAATTCTTTGTAACATACCCAATATCTGCTCCACCACATATTAGAGAACAGATAGCACCTGGCAGTTTGTTGGCTTCCAAAACCTGGGCAAGTATTCTAAAAAAAAGGAACAAAACAAGATTAATTAAAAACAACATTTTGTTCTTGGCTAAGAATAAAGTGTGAATAGCCATGAAGCCAATGAGATTTTTCTTCCCAGTTTCACATTTCCTGAAATGAGTTTTTTAAGACAAAAGTTTAAAAGAAACTTTTTTACTATAAGAATATTCCAGAATTAAGCGAAGCAAAATATCTAATATTATCTAATATACAGTATGACCCTTGAATCTGTGGATTCTACATACCTGAATTAGACAAAATATCATTTCTCTAGGGATTTTGTAGGCCAGTGGTTCCCAACCTGTGGTCCATGGACTACCAGTGGTCCGCAAGAATGAAAATATGGTCCGTAGCCTCACCATTACTACACCGTTGACTCAAAACCACGCAGCAATGAGAGTGACTGGTCTCGCGAAACCCTCTTATAATGCAGAGGCAATGGGGATGTTGGGAGGGGCAACTACACACAAAAGATTACTATTGCATGGTCCGTTACCTCACCATTGCAATGGGAACGACTGGTCTTGCGAAACCCTCTTATAGTGCCCAAGTTTATTAAATATGGTTTTCTGTGGGCGAGCAGATGGCAACTACTGGATGGCATATGTTCTGTATCAGAAACTAGAGCTGATGTGGCTTATCCAATGCAATTTTCTGAATGAGCACCCCAAATAACCAAACTGAATCAAAAGTTGACCAAAAACTGATTAGTAATCATTTTGGTACTAATGTTGGAGAGTGGTCCCTGATTGAAGTGGTCCCTGCTCAAAAAAAAAAGGTTGAGAACCACTGTTCTAGGTCCTCCAAGCAATTCTATGTCATGAGTTTGCTGGAAGTTACCAAAGAGCCATGCGGGAAGACCTAGCAAATTCCTAAAGACTACCTCTCAGAGCAGTTCCCTTGGAACGTATTGCAGCAATCTGGTTTAGGAGAGAAGATACACTTGATTTTATTTTATTGTGAAATGTATTTTTCATGCATTTGAGATTTTTTTTAAAATCCCAGGGCTTCTGAATTCAATATCACTTCATAAAAGGTGTAGCAGAGGTAGGAGAGTGGAGAGGAGAGTATTCCAACATAGGCAATCGTGTTTCAAAAGGGATCAATGTATGCAGTGGGCAGGACCAATCAACACAAAAATTACGTGTGTCCACATGTCCTGATTAAACATAAAACCCAATGGGCTGATTATGTCTTTCTACAGTCATGCCCCCAACAAATGGACCCTAAATATATACAGTAATTTCACAGATCCTCTGCTTGTGTTGGGTATGATTATCTGCAAAACACCATTATTCACATGTCACTTAAGGCTGAGTTAGAGGGCATTGTCCTTGCCAAACTATTCAGACTAGAACTCTCAAAATGCTTAATGCTAGCCATTCTGAGTGGGGCACCTGGAGATCCAAGGTACCCCACTTCCAACTAAAGGAGCAGAGGGTTGTGTTTGTGTGTTGTTGCATCATGCACTGCTTTGGTTGGGTATGAATATATACAAAACATCATTATTCGCTTTTTATGAAATGAGATCACATGGGAGAGACACACAAAATCACTTTGTTGAAATTTTTACTACAGGACAATTATGAGGTGGAAAGAAGAATGTGTGAACTTGTGATTGACTACTCCCAGTATTTCAGTCACTATACCACTACATACCTGAGACAGAACAAAATGAAATTTATATAAAAAGGGGAAAAAATAGCTGGTGGAGGGACAGATCAGCTGGCAAATTCCCTGGCATGTATACCTCTGCCACTCCAACCAAGGAGTTGATGTGAAATTTTGCACAAGATGTTAAAAGATATGCTCAAGATGCAGTTGCAAGGCATATGGTAAATCAGATCTCATGGGTTACGCTCCTCAGAGAAAAGGAAGCAAACATTATCCCAGCCAAGCTCTTAAATTATGGAGAAAGAAGAAGAGGAGGAGGAGAAAGACTGCACAAGTTCTAATGACTACTGGTAGCGGTTAAATGAAAACTCACTTTGTAACAGCGACACTAGTGAGGGATGTTGTGGGGGCACCTTTCCTTCAGGAAGAAAAAGAAAAAAAAATAGGAAACTATTATTTCCATTCGTAAGAAACAATCCTGAAAAGGACAAGTGTGAAATTTTAAGCTATTGAACTGTTTTATTTATGCGATAATGTAAATGAACACAACACACGCTGAAGTCACAAACAGCTCAGTACAACCATATTATCAATTCCACGTTGTGTGCAAGGACTTCAGAGAAATGCACACACTTGTGAATTTGCTTTTCTGTACCAGGACAGTGTTGCCTTCCAGATGGTTTTGACCTGCATCTTCCATAATCCCGTGCCACAAGGAATTGATAGACCACAAAAAACATCTGGCCTAATTGCAGACCCTGAACTAAAGGAGTACAAACCAGAACTATATTTTAAGCCAAGCTTAATGAAGAAAAGCTGATACCATTTTCAACAGGGTTGAAACTCAAAACTATGTCCCAACAATAAATAAAGAAACAATGATCACCAGGGAACTGCTCTAAATTACATGATGCATAGGTAAAAAGACATTTTAGTACTGCACTCTTCAACCACAGTTAACAAAATCCACCAAATCATTCCCACCTTTCCACTGTCAGGCATTTGTGAGTATAAAATGATCACAATCTGCCTTGTGATCCAACAGTGGTTATTTGGCAGCAACAATACCCTTTTGGTGCTTTCCATCAGTAGCATCAATGCTTCCAAATTTCAGATTCTAGAGTGAAAAAATGCATGCCAGAGGAGTGCTCAAACCATCTCTCAGAAAAATAGTAACACTACTCTTTAAGAATGCCAGTTTATTGTACAAAGGGGGGGGGGGGGAGAGAATGTTAATCTCAGTCATATTTAAGAAGGGCTTAGATGAAGAAAGTGATGCTATTCTCAATGGGATTCAAACTCAAAACTTAACCAAGTTACCCATTGAAGAAGCAAACTCAGCAAGTTGTCTTTATATCACTGAAAGCACCCACAGTATTTGCACAAGAAATCAGAAGCTGCTAGGACTTAAAGGATTCATCATGATGCAAGACATATTTTCTTACCAGAGACAGACATTGCCACAGATCATTGCAATTGCATTGTTCCAGCCATAAACTGCAACGGGAAAGTTAAATGCCGAGATGACTCCAACTAATCCCAGAGGATTCCATTGCTCTATTAAGGCATGACCAGGTCCTGAAAACAAATCAGAAGCCATTTTGGCTTAGCAAACAAGGAACATTTGTCTTCTCATTGATCCATCCCATTGTTGAATAAGCTTAGTGCACATATATGATGTAGGGTCTAGTTTTTTCATTATGAGCACTGTGCAGGAGATTCCACCTGAACATTAGGAAGAACCTCCTCACTGTAAGAGCTGTTCAGCAGTGGAACTCTCTGCCCCTGAGTGTGGTGGAGGCTCCTTTTTTGGAGGCTTTTAAACAGAAGCTGGATAGCCATCTGTTGGGTGTGCTTTTCCTGCACAGCATGAAGTTGGACTAGATGGCCAATGTGGTGGTCTCTTCCAACTCTATTATTCAATTATTCTATGATGACCCAATAGGTTTATTATACAGTATGTCCCCTTATCCACAGATTCGATATCAATGGATTCTCTTACCCAGATTTGTAGGTTCTAAGTCCTCAAATGTAATTCTACGGTTTGCTTGCAGACCAAAAATAGTAAAAATATAGGATTTTGTTATTTGCAATTTAGGGTATGGCGGGGGGGGGGGGCATTTCCAACATGTGTAAGAAGGTCATAATGCAATTCAGTGGTTCCCAACCTTGGTCCGTGAACCACCAGTGATCTGCAAGAACTAAAATATGGTCAGTGGCCTCACTGTTACTACACCGTAGCAATGAGAGTGACTGGTCTTGTGAAATCCTCTTCTGGTGCCAAGGCTTATTAAATATAGTTTTCCTGTGGGTGAGCAAATGGTGACTAGTGGATAGCATATGTTCTGTATCAGAAACTAGAGCTGATGAGGTCTATCCAATGTAATTTTCTGAAGCAGCACCCCAAACAACCAAACTGAATCTAAAGTTGACCAAAAACTGATTCATAACCCTTTTGGTACTAATGTTGGGAGAGTGGTCCCTGGTCAAAAAAAGGTTGGGAACCACTGATGTAGTCAGTACAAGAGTCTTGACACATTCACAGAAAACACAACAGGACAGCCTAATTCAATGGTCTCTTCCACATCAGCCACATTTAAAATTTAGGTTAAATGTCTTCTAAAACATTATCTATATTCCTAGCATCATAGAGTTAGAATAGATCATAAGGGCCATCCAGTCCAACCCCCCACCTTGCAGGAAAACACAATCAAAGCATACACGACAGATGGCCATCTAGCCTCCTCTGCTTAAAAACTTCAACAGAAGGAGACTCAATTTCACTCCAAGGCAGCATATTCCACTGTTGAACAGATCTTGCTGTCAGGAATTCTTCCTAATATTTAAGATGGATTATTTTTCCTGCTATTTAAATCCATTGCTCCTATATCTATGGGCTAAGGAACCTGAACCAAGCACTGCTTATCTCCTGAAGTGCATGTACACTATGGAAAATTAAGTTTGATACTACTTTAACAGATATGGAATCATAGGAGTTGTAGTTTACAGTCTTTATGCCTTCTCTGGTGCCTCACCAAACTACATATCTTAGGGTTCCAGAGTTAAAGTGGGGTCAAACTGCTTTAATTCTGCAGTGTAGATGCATTCATAGAAAGCAATAGAAAGTGGCAACAGTTGAGTGATGGCAACTGTGCGAATAATCCAATCCATGGATGTCAAATCAGTGCAGATTAAGGGCCAACTGTATATTTATATGAAAGCCAAAATAAAACTTACTTTCTGAAGGTAAGACAGGCCCACCAATCATCCGAGATAAGCCAACAGCATAGTCACAGACGTCTACATATTCCTGAACTTCACCAACACTCTCAGCTGTGATCTTTCCCATCTCTAAAGAAACCTGAAGATATTAGCAAAACATGTATATAGTACTGTTCATATTTAGAACAATTTTAGGAAAAACCGTAGCATTTAATCAGGAGCAGTGCATGCTTCTGCAGAAAAACTTACCAAATTTCCAAGAACTTTGATTTTCTGTCTCAAGGCATCACCAATCTGTCTTACTATTTCTCCTCTTTTGGGAGCAGGAACCTATGCAAGGGAGCCAAAAGACTTCTTTAATCCCAGTCTTTTGAAACAAGATTTTGCATTAAAACCCTATAAAACATACTGACACTTTATCAATAACATAACTGGTCACATATTTGCATGAATGGTTAGGCATCTGCAGCATGAAGTAACTGAATAGTCAAGGAGAAACAGTAATTTTAAAAGAAACTGTACTATTTTTTCATCATTTGCTGAGGAGAAGTGCAAAATGTATAAAAACACTGTTGGCAATTCTTGAAGGAATTGCAAGAGCTGAGATTGCAAGTACTTGGAAGAGTGCCCAAAGATTTTCATTTCACAGATAACACAGCTATATCTGGAGAGAGAGAAATAACAATTCATGTCTATATGAAACAGGAGAAATATACAATGACAACTCTGTCACAACCAAGTTATCAATATTTAATGTATTGATAACAGGAACTGAATGTTGAAGACCTCCAACCAATCAATTGGAGTGTTGGAACAATATGTATAAACATGACAGCATGTGATCTATTATTACAATTGTTAATTACAGAGGGATTAGGAGGTAAGGGTTGACTTGTCATTGTTGATTTCTAAAAATAAGAAAAAGATTTGAACAAAATACTGGAGCAGTCAATGTAGGAATACAATGGTTGTTTTAACAGCACAAATAAATGTCTTTGTTTTGTTTTTTTAAAAACAACATTACATGCAATATAACATTGGGAAGCTATAAAAAGTGTTCCAGTCTAGAGTTAAAAGCATAGAATCCCAGAGTTGGAAGAGACCTCATGGGCCATCCAGTCCAACCCCCTACCAAGAAGCAGGAAAATCACATTCAAAGCACCCCCAACTGATGGCCATCCAGCCTCTGTTTAAAAGCCTCCAAAGAAGGAGCCTCCACTACACTCCAGGACAGAGAGTTCCACTGCTGAACAGCTCTCACAGTTAGGAAGTTCTTCCTAATGTTAAGGTGGAATCTCCTTTCCAGTTTGTCAACATCTCCCTTCAACTGCAGTGCCCAGAATTGGACACAGTATTCCAGGTGTGTTCTGTCCAAGGCAGAATAGAGGGATAGCATGACATCCCTGGATCTAGACACTATACTCCTATTTATGCAGGCCATAAAGGATGCATTCTTTTCAATCATGAAAATGTAATTTCTTAAATTGGAAACAGTTTATCCTGTCACTTAAATTTTGATACAGATGGTCTGGTACATCTATCTAAATTTTAGACAAATCAGATTACAAAATGTCTACAGGTCTTCAAAAACTGGAAGCAACAAGGAGTGTTTGTTTTGAGTGCTTCATACAGTTTTTAGAAGGAAGGGCTGAGAAGAGAGAGGTCTTTAAAAGACAGTGGGCCCTTGTAATCAGTAGTAGATCATTTCCAGGACCCACAGCGGATATCAAAAAAACAAAAATGCCTTTTATGTAAGTCTCTTTTAAAAATGTGTTCGGACTGCAGTGGAGGTAAGAAGCAGTTTTAAACCAGTACTAAATAAAGTGGTTTTGATGTCCAGATTTTGTGTGTGTGTGTGTGTGTGTGTCAGGAGTGACTTGAGAAACTGCAAGTTGCTTCTGGTGTGAGAGAATTGGCTGTTTGCAAGGGCATTGCCAGGGGATGCCCGGATGTTTTACCATCCTTTGAGAGGCTTCTCTCATGTCTCTGCATGAGAAGCTGGCGCTGACAGGCAGGAGCTCACCCCACTCCCCAGATTCAAACCGTCAACCTTTTAGTTAGCAGTCCTGCAGGCACAAAGGTTTAACCCATTGCGCCACCGGGTTACCTGGGAAATCCTGGAACCGGTTTGAGACCCAGATGATGATTACACAAACCACAGAGCACTAATGTACATTAAGGGCTTTTTTTACAGGCTTTTGTAGGGGTTTGTAGTCTGACCACCAGTCTGAAGCCAGCTTCAAATAACATTAAATGGCCAGTGCAGACAGAACTGTAGAGTAAAAGGAGTCTTTTAAGCAATCGTTGTTTGATGTCACCCATCACTCAAACCCAGTTCCCCCAACACAAAGGAACAACACGACGGGTAATGACAACAGTGTCATGCAAGTCTCTCAAAGGAAAAGACACAAAGGGAGAACTGTAAAAGCAAGCAAGAAAGAGGACAATGAGATTTAACTTGCTGTTCAACAACAAAAGCACATAGATGTCCTGGGAATTGGGTGGTTGAAACTTAATTTTATTTTTTTTTATGAAATGGTTGCAGGAACCACAGGGAACAACCTTATAGTGGGAGGCACATCACAGCAGAAGATAGAAAAGTTCCTTTTTGAATACAACTCCCATGATGTCAAGGGACTTTGGGAACTGTACTCCTAAAAGTAACTTTTACAAGCTGGGAGGAACTGCCGCCTCTAATGATATAAATTTTGAAAAGGTATTAAACTTGTATTATAATAATACCACTACATGCTGGGACACTTTGTACAAAGTAAAAACAAAAATCCCATCCACACAGAAAGCTATAGTGACTTGGAAACCAATTAGCTATAGTGTTGTTCTCCAACATCTACTTTGGTCAAGTGGCAGGATTTTCCTTATAAAGCCCAAGTTAAAATGAGAAAAAAATAACTGAAAAAAAAAAAGCAAAACTGAGATTTACCTATTCTTATTCTCCTTCCTGCCTTCCGCCATTCCACTAGTTCCCTCTAATGAAATCTCATTTTTACTATCCTAGTTGCAGTGGGTCTTCAAGCTATAGAAGTGAAGGACTATGACTCACAAATTCAAGAATTAATTCAGTTTAACACCACTTTAACATCCATAGATCAATGCTATGGAATCATGGGAATTGTAGTTTAACAAGGTTTTTAGACTTTCTCTACCTCGCCAAACCAAAAACCCTAGGATTCCATAGTATTAAGCCATGACAATTAAAGTAATGTCTAAATGCATTAAATCTATAATATAGATATACCCTTAGTGTGGAGGCACAAAGCTTGAGTTGTAACAAGCACAATACACAAATACGCACAACTTTTCTACATTGTGTGTAAATTAAACCAGCAGTAGCTTTATACTAACCTTTAGTCTCCTTCCATATGTCATATTTCAAATACTTTGGGAGTAATTTGTTTTGCATTTGACAGATTGCTTATATTCCAGTATTATTTTTTCATGTCAGGAGCGACTTGAGAAACTGCAAGTCGCTTTCGGTGTGAGAAAACTGCCCATCTGCAAGGGCATTGCCCAGGGGATGCCCGGATGTTTGATGTTTTACCATCCTGTGGGAGGCTTCTTTCATGACCCCGCATGGGGAGCTAGAGCTGATAGACAGTAGCTCACCCCACTCCCTAGATTCGAACTGCCAACCTGTTGGTTGGCAAGTTCAGCTGGCACAAGGGTTTAACCCATTGCGCCATCAGGGGTTCCAATCTTCCAAGATGAAATAGCACATTAAGTATTCATGCATGACGAAAAGGAACCTTCTCTAAGTGTCCAGAACAATAACTGAAGTCCCATGCATAAGTAAACACCACTGAATACAATGAAGCTTTAACATAAATATGCATGCATCATGTCTGGCGACTTGGCTTTAAGAAACTATATGAGAACAACACGACACTCAAAGAAACCTATTTCATATTTCTCTGTAAATTTATGACGGCTGATGGACTTTTCCAGTTCAAAGGCTTTGAAGGCTTCAACAAGGAGTGATTGAAGCCTTCAGTTTAAAAAATATTGCCTTTCTTGCATCATATCAAAACCATTTTTACATTTAAACTTATCGATTAGCAGTTAGGCAGCATTCCCTCTAGGGTTATAGACAGAGTCAAAACAAAAGGATCAGAAACAGCATTGCTACAAGAAAAAGGAGTTTAATGTGGCTTATAGAAACATTCTCAGGGTTAAGGAATGGGTGGCACTCCAAAAATAATGAAGTTATTTCACTCACCTCTGCCCATACTTGCCAAGCCTCTTGAGCTTTCTTTACTGTTTCTTCATAGTCTTCCAAACTTGCCTACAAAAATAAATTCTAATTATTTGATCATTAAATCTAAAGGTCATAACAAGACAAAATAATCTAACTAGTGTGTTATACGGACAAATCTGGTTTCTGTGGGCACATATCATGTGAGAACACGAACAGTTAACATTTTACCGCAGGCATGGGCAAACTTTGGCCCTCCAGGTGTTTTGGACTCCAACACCCACAATTCCTACCAGCTGTTAGGAATTGTGGGAGTTGGACTCAAAATACCTAGAGAGCCAAAGTTTGCCCATGCCTGTTCTACAGACATGGTGCCAAATGTTTTCCATATATGTATGACATTCAAGACTGACTCCTAGCATCACCAGGTGACATTAGGGAAGACCCTTGTCTGAAAAACAATGGTAAGATCTCTGGCCCAATCATTTGATTTGCTGTGATTCTGTGTTCCTAAACAAGATTGGGTTCTCACAACATCCTACCTCAAGCACCTGAAACTTTTAAAGGAGCCATTAAACAGAAAATATATACAGTCCTGGGGATTTTATTAATCACTAGCAGACTTGCATTCAGGGAAAAACATATATACAGCATTTTATAGATCTGAAATATCTAAAAAGCTTGTGCAATATTTAGTGACCTTTCTAGAAGAGCTGAAAAGCTTGTGCAAAGTTTTGTAACCTTTCAGCTAGCCTAATATTTACTGTACTCAGATTTTCAACACTCCTTTACTTTCTGTGTAACTTGAAGAAAACCACATCCAGATATTTAGCAGTAGGGTCCAACACTGAAGAGAGTGTCACACCACCTTCCTTATCACCTGAAGATAATTGTGAAGTGACCCAATTTGGTTTCTGCTTTCAGTTGGTGCAGCATCTAAAATTATATCCATGATCCCTATATCCACACAAGCAATCTATTTTTTCTTAGCTTCTACCAAAAGACCTGGGAGACAGCCTAATATTTTTTTAAACTGCTATAACATTTCGATCCTATTTTAATTTGATATATTGTTTTATGCCCTTTTGAAATTAACTACAGTGCAAAATAACTACAAAATATGTGCAATGATTTTTGGAATGGCCCCGGATTACCATTGTGGATGGCATGATTTTAACAGTGATTGTAATGTTTATCTGTTTTAATGTGAATTTTAACTATAATTTTTGAATTTTTAAATTTTAACTTAAATATATTTAATTTTTGTTTTCTAAAGGCATGAAATAGTTGCCATTTGTAAAGCCGCTTGAGTCCCCTTTGGGGTAGAGAAAGGTGGGATACAAAAAGAGTAAATAAATAATAAATGGTTTTAGTATGTTTAAACAGCTTTTGTTTTACATTGTAAGTTACTTAAATAAGCTTTATTTCCACGCCACACTAACAATTCATGGCAGAGAACAAGACAGCTTCTGATAAGAGAATATATCCAACCCACTTCATGTTCTATCTCAACGTTTTCTCACCTTTCCAAGCCTGACTTTCAAATCAAATCAGCCTTCCTTTTGTCATCTCATCTTTCCACTACCTATATTGAGTAACATGCTGGAAAATTTCAAAACCTGCACAATGTTTTGTAACCACCACCCCACCCCCCCCACCCCCCCGGTTTAGTGTCTGTTTAGGATTGTAGTACTTTTAATAACCTCTTAAGAATATGTTCGGTGTACTATGCCCCTGTACAGAAGCAAAAGAAAACAATAGCTTCAGGGACTTTCATCCCATTCTTGAAGGAATTTTAGTTGGATTTTAATTGCCCACTACATAGAAATAGACACATTGAAAGACTCAGATGAATGTACTACATTGCCATCCTTTATTTACACTCCACCTTTTTCATAGATCCGAGACTGAAGTAATTTTGCCAACCAAAATAAAAGTCCAAACTGAACACAGTACAACCCTTGTATCCACAGGGGATACATTCCAGGACTTCCTGTGGATACATGATACCGCAGGCAAAAGTGAATGCTCTGTTTTCACACTTGGAGTGAAAATAGGATGTCTGCTCTTTCCTCTACCTGCTCTACAGAGAAGAAAGTAACTGAGGTTCTTAAGCTTCTCCCTATTTCCCCAATGACAAAGTATTTCCTGTGTCTAGACATTCACACAACAGCCTTGGACCTCAGTGGAGGGAGCAGTGGTTGCAATTTTGCCTGCTCTTTCCTGCAATGCCAGAAGCTACAGTTTGATCCTCAGAAGGGAGCTAGAAGTGATGGTGGATTTTCCTGTCTCCCCACCAACCCAAGCCTCAGTCCTCGATAGGGACCTAGTGACAGCAGCCTCTAGTCTTTCTGTTTTTCTCCCCACATGCCTGAAGCTATTGTGTGAACAGCAGGTAAGTGCAACCATGGATATAAGATCTATAAATACAAGGATCTTACTCTATAGATTCAAACATATGAACAGTTATTTTTAAGTGCAATTTATCTGTAGCGTTAAAACCATTGAGAACATCTTATGTATTTCACAGAAATACATTTTAATATGTATCTTTTATAGAACTACATTTTAATATGTGCATTTATAGAATATTTTGCAATGTTTGTGTGTTTTGACTGTGCTGTGACCCGCCTCAAGCCATAAGGAGAGGCGAGTAAGAAATAAAACTATTATAGTTGAAGGCTTTCATGTCTGGAATCACTGCAGCGTTGTGTGGTTTGTGGCCTGTATGGCCATGTTCTAGCATTTTCTCTGGATGCTTTGCCTGCATCTGTGGCTGACATTTTGAGAGGATCTGATGGTGGTAAAACAAGTGGAGTATATATACCTGTGGAATGTGCAGGGTGGGAGAAAGAACCAATGTCTATTAACTAAGCATGAAGAGTGCAATAAGCAAGTCTGACTTGAATGGGTTTCATCCATTAGCATACGAGTAACTAAGAAGATCACATAGTCAAAAGTGAAGGCATTTGGCTGGAAGTAGCTAGGCCTTTGTTCCACTTCCTTTACCACCATCAGATACTCTGAAGATGCTTGCCACAGATTCAGGTGTAATGTCAGGAGAAAATGCTGCTACAATATAGCCATACAGCCCGGAAACTACACAAGACTCCACTACTACTACTATTTTCTCTAAGAAGCAAAAGACAAAGTGCTATAGCACTCTAATGAAGCCCCTTGCTTTTAAAACAATCAGTGCTAGGAAGTTGTTGGAATAGGAAAGTCTTCAGCTGCCAATGAAAAAAAACAAGGAAGGAGCCACTCTGATTTCCCTGGGAAGCAAGTTCCAGAGCTCAGGAACAGCTGTGCAAAAGGCCCCCTTCCCCATTTACACCAAATGTGCTACTGAACATGATAAGACTGAAAGAGGATTTTCTTCCCTCAAAAAAAAGTGTCATAGAGGAGAAAGTCAACTGCCACAGTGCATTTCAATTAAAAGAAACCAGGAAGAAGACATAACTCTAAACTGCATCAGACTCAAATCCCAGTTAAGATATGTGTTGCTTGCCTGTTAGTCCAGTATATCTTAACATGCAGAATAAGCCTCAACTTACGCAATACTAGACAAACTGGCAATATAGCCCTGGGCTACATATGAAATTGTAGTCTCCATTTTCAGACATTAAGAAACCTGTGGATTTTTGCATGTTTGAATTAGTCCACAAAAGTTCTCTCGAAATGCTTTTTTGTATGCCCTTTCATTTACTGCAATAAAATTAAAAATCATTATGCTAGCAACCTATTTAATAGATGTACTCACGAGAACAACACTACTTCAAAGTATAAGAGAAAACAAGAGTCAACAAAAAAAATCTCCCCAGCTTCCATTAGGCTCCGCCAACTCCTGTATTTTTCCACTCTATTTGTCTTATCTTTCTAATCATCCCAAGTTGAGCCATTTAAGGGTATGGTGAAACTTTTCTAGCCAAGCATTTAGCTAAGAATACAGAAGAAAACCCTTACCTGTCGAACTCTGGCTATCGGCTGATGGTTTGCAGGGCAATATGTTGTCACCACCTAAAAAAAATCACTCACATTATGTTACGAGGAATATACAGTAGACATGGTTAAATGGAACTCAAGCAACCAGAAATCTCAAGCAACTGGCAAAAAAAATCAATGAAATAATACTTTAAATAAATATTAAAATAAAAACAAGTTTAATATTACAATAAAATAAGTTTTTATTATACAGTGAAACTATGTTACTTAAGTTATGTTTGTCTTTCTTTTCTTTTGATGACTATCTTTCAAGATTAATATCAAGTCAAGACAGAGTTTATGCCTGCTATAATATTGGGCAATGTATGCCTATTTTAATAGTAACTCTCGGAACCAGAAAACTACATTTATTCAGCATCTACAAATCCTTTTGGATCTCAGTTAACTGTGAGTCAACAGGATAAATAAATATAGCCCAATAATCACTATATATTGAGCTAAGGACAGTATGGTGTAGTACAATGGTTCTCAACCTGTGGGATTTCTAGGAGTTGTAGGCTGAAACACCTGGGGGCCCACAGGCTGAGAACCACTGGTGTAGTTTGAGCGTTGGGTTATGATTCTGGAGACCAGGATTTGAATGCCCACTCTGCCATGAAACCCACTTGGGCAAGTCATACTCTCTCAGCCTCAGAGTAAGGCAATGGCAGATCTCTTTAAGCTAGACATGACTCGAAGGCCATACATCTCTATACAGACAACTTGCAGTCTACACACGGTTACAAGTTTCATCAGACTGGGCAAAATGGTCAGCAGTACTGGGAGAGAAGGGGCCAGTGATCTGATGGACCTATACACACTGAATTGTAACAATTATACAGAGTCTGCCCTGAGCAGCCTGCATATGGATTTCAGTTTCCAGTTATGTGTGCAAATAAAGTTTCTGGAGTACTAATTAAACGAGGTGGAAATGCTTAATCCAATTGGCACCTTTTCAGAGACTTGTACTCTACTCCCATGTTATCCTTTAATGAGAATATATTACATACATCTGGAAAGGTGCCATCAAAATGTTCTAGTTCTTTCTTGAAATAGAATCAAAGGTGAGAAACTGCAGAGAAGATGATTTTGATTAAATATTTAAAAGAGTTTTCTCTCACTCAGCAGAAATATCTGCCTCAAAGGTGGTAGGCTCTCTTCAATCGGAAATGTTTGTACACATGAGTTGCTGTGAGTTTTTCGGGCTGTATGGCCATGTTCCAGAAGCATTCTCTCCTGACGTTTCACGAACATATATGCCAGGCATCCTCAGAGGTTGTCTGCCATAGATGCAGGCAAATGTCAAGAGAGACCGCTTCTGGAACATGGCCATTATACAGGCCGGAAAACTCACAACAACCCAGTGATTCCAGCCATGAAAGCCTTCAATAACACATTGTTTACACACATGTTGGTTGATCCATTAGCAGAACCGAGAATTTCCAGGCCCACTATGAGAATGGGGCTAGGTTGGATGACCTCTCATAACCCAAAACTCAAGGCGGAACTATGGGATAGCAAGTCTGAATTCCTACATTTATTGGCTAGCCGTCTGCTAGTTCTTTGTACCTTCTCAGCAGCTTGATTGCAACTTGCCAATATTGGTGGCTTTTAGTGAACAAGGTGGGATGCAGACGCCTGAACCAAACAATCCCAATAAAGCACATCAAAAAATACTAAGGGCATAGAATTCAGGCTAGATCGACACTGCTACACAATCCAGATTATCAAAGCATATAATGCACATCATTTGCTTTGAACTTAATTATATGAGTCTATACTGTCATACATAATCAAAGAAGTTCAAAGCAGATAATCTGGATTTTATATGGCAGTGTAGATCCAGCCTCAGAGACATAATCCTGTTAATCTGGGATATCTGTAGGCAAAAGGCACTTTAGGCTCCCTTCCACACAGCTGAATAAAATCCCACATTTTCTACTTTGAACTGGAATGTATGGCAGTGTGGACTCCGATGAGACAGTTCAAAGCAGATAATGTGGGATATTCTGCCTTGATATTTTGGGTTATATGGCTGTGTGGAAGGGCCCTTAGAGTACATCTACACTGTAAAATTAATGCATTTAAATACCACTTTCAGTACCATGGCTCATCCTGGGATCTGCAGTTTGCTCCAGTAATTTTGTTTTAAGCCAGTGGTTCTCAATCTTCCTAATGCCACGACCCCTTAATACAGTTCCTCATGAGACTACGACAATGGCTTCAAACTACAAGAAAGGAGATTCCATCTGAACATGAAGAAGAACTTCCTGACTGTGAGAGCCGTTCAGCAGTGGAATTCTCTGCCCCGGAGTGTGGTGGAGGCTCCTTATTTGGAAGCTTTTAAACAGAGGCTGGATGGCCATCTGTCAGGGGTGATTTGAATGCAATATTCCTGCTTCTTGGCAGGGGGTTGGACTGGATGGCGCATGAGGTCTCTTCCAACTCTTTGATTCTATGATTCTATGTTGTGGTGATCCCCAACCATAACATTATTTTCGTTGCTACTTCATAACTTTAATTTTGCTACTATTATGAATCACAATGTAAATATCTGTTAAGCAGGATGTATTTTCATTCACTGGACCAAATTTGGCACAAATCTCCAATACACCCACATTTGAATACTGGTAGGGTTGGAGGGGATTGATTTTGTCATTTGGGAGATGTAGTTGTTCGGATTTATAGCTCACCTACAATCAAAGAGTATTGTGAACCTCACCAGTGATTGAACTGTGCCAAACTTTCCACACAGAACACCCATGACCAACACAAAATACTGGAGATATTTGGGATGAATTGACAGTGATTTAGTGGGAGATGTGGTTCCTCTACATACGGAGAGCACTGCGAACCCAAACGACTATGCGAAACGGGTTCCTAAGACATCGGAAATATGTGTTTTCTGATGGTCGTTGGCGACCCCTCTGAAACCCCCTTGCGACCCTATCAGGGGGTTGAGAAACACTGTTTTAAGCAGAGAAGGCTAAAAAGCTTGTAAAACTACAACCCCCATCGTTCCCTTTGCATTATGCGATGGCTGTGAGAGTGGTGTCAACATGCATTAGTTCTATGGTGCAGATGCACAAAACCTTGGGGCAGGCATGGGCAAACTTAGGCCCTCCAGGTGTTTTGGACTTCAACTCCCACAATTCCTAACAGCCTACCGGCTGTTAGGAATTGTGGGAGTTGAAGTCCAAAACACCTGGAGGGCCTAAGTTTGCCCATGTCTGCCTAGAATGAATGGAGTTCGACAGCACTGTAACTGGCATGGCTCAAGGCTATGTAATCATGGGAATTGTAGTTTTACAAGGTCTTTAGCCTTCTCTGCCAAATAGTGTTGATGCCAGGACTAAACTACAGCCCCCAGGATTGCATAGCCTGGAGCCATGGCAGCTAAAGTGGTATCAAACTACTTTAATTCTGAAGTAGATGCCCTCTCTCTCTTTCTCTCTCTCTCTCTCCCTGGAACCCATCCATTTGGGAAGGCAGCCAGGTTCCCTCTCCTCCTCCTCCTCCTCCTCCTCCTCCTCCTCCTCCTCCTCCTCCTACCTCTCCTCTTCCTCCCCAGGAGCCATTGTAGACGCCCGCGTTCTCCTCCTGGAGGCCCAGCTCCTTGAGCCAGGCGTAGGGCGCTTGGTTGACCAGCAGCGTCGACATCGGGGCAGCAGAGGGAGGCTTCCAGAGGCAGAGGAGCTTCCGCCGCCACGCGCGCCTGCCCAGAGCGGAGAGGCCCAGCTGCAGCAGCATGGCGGGAAAAGGGGCGAGTGCCGCGGGAGGCCAATGGGAGGAGGGGAAGAGCTCCACACACGCCCCGCCCTCCCCAAGCCGGGATTGGTGGAGGTGGTGAGAGAGGCGGGATCCGTCAAGAAGCGCCGCCAATCAGCGCTCGCCGTGGCCGGGGACAGACTAAGGGCTGACATCGGATCATAGGAAAAGTCATAGGAATGAATGCACTTTGACAGCACTTTCCCTGCCATGGCTCAAGGCTATAGGATCCTGAGAGTTTTAGCTTGGTGAATCATAGAGTTGGAAGAGACCTCATGGGCCATCCAGTCCAACCCCCTGCCAAGAAGCAGGGAAATTGCATTCAAAGCACCCCTGACAGATGGCCATCCAGCCTCTGTTTAAAAGCTTCCAAAAAAGGAGCCTCCACCACACTCCGGGGCAGAGAGTTCCGCTGCTGAACGGCTCTCACAGTCAGGAAGTTCTTCCTAATGTTCAGATGGAATCTCATTTCTTGTAGTTTGAAAACATTGTTCCATATCCTAGTCTCCAGGGCAGCAGAAAACAAGCTTGCTCCCTCCTCCCTGTGACTTCCTCTCATAAGGAGGAAGTCATGTTTCCCTTTCATAGGGAAACATGATAGCCATATTTATACATGGCTATCATGTTTCCCCTCAGCCTTCACTTCTTCTGGCTAAACATGCCCAGCTCTTTAAGCCGCTCCTCATAGGGCTTGTTCTCCAGACCATTGATCATTTTAGTCACCCTCCTCTGGACACATCCCAGCTTGTCAATATCTCTCTTCAATTGTGGTGCCCAGAATTGGACACAATATTCCAGGTGTGGTCTAACCAAAGGAGAATAGAGGGGTAGTGAAGCAGGCTTTTTCCTTCCCCTGAGCAATTGCTCAAAGGCTCAGCCAAAATGCTCCGTTTTAGTTCAATT